CCTTCGACGCGGTGTTTTGTTCACAACATCCTGTTCACTCACCACAGCGAGCCAAAATACGGAACGTGAAGGGATGCGCAGAACCATTGATCTGTGGTTGGAAAAAAGCAGTATGGATTGCTGAAACAATGTCTTGTTTGAACTTCGTTTATTGTGTCACGGCAGGACGAGTGGTTACAGGTACGAAGAGGGGAGAGGAAACACCTTGAACGGGAACATGGGCACAAAACCGGGTTTTGTTGACAGCTTACCGAGACACTCTAGCCACCGGACACAACAGGCTGTTGGCCCGTCGCACAACGCGACTCCCTCTCGTGTTTACATGCAATACAACAACAAACCAAAATAACTTGCAATCCTGCTCCCACAGAGGATGCACTTCACAAGATCAGCCTCTGCTTCCCCTGTGACGCGCAGGGAAATACCCATGCACACACCTAGAGCAAACAGTCAAACAAAAACAAGGAATGGGCCTTTGAAGTGTTAGCAATTGTATTTGTACATCTGCCAAAAATGCGTGTTAATGAATTCAAGCACAGCTGAACCAGATCTGTCCCAAAAATGCACAATACATTTATTTACTGAACTACAGTAATAGCAGCCTCATGTAAAAAGCATGGGAGGAAGGAAGTAAACTTTTTTCTTTTTTTTTATGACCCCTTCCAAGCATGAAGAAGTTTTATTTTCAGTAAGTTTGTAGACACAAATGAAAAGCTACATACAAACCTGTACATGTACCCAAGGTAACATCTGTAAATACAGCCAGGGCAAGTGCAGGTATTAGCATGCTTTGAAAATCAAACATAATTTTTATGCAATTAAGAACCTAGAATTAATGGTATTCTGTGAAAAAATGAAGCAAACTACTAATCACAGGTTCAGAGAAGCTGTTAACAGTGATGAATTAATGAATGCAGCAGAAGACAATGCTATAAAAAGCAATTTTTTTTTTTCAAAATGTCAGGCGGCTGCACCATAAACGACTCCCAAATCTTTTAACTACAGTAACTGTCATGGTAATTGCTATAGTAAAAAATCACAAAATAAAGTAAATTACCAACTTCATAATATGAAGTACTACATAATATGAAGGCTGTAAAAGGCTGGGCCTTGTGCTTAAGGTCCTGGATAAACCAGGTGATTTGAGTGCACAGTTACTCTTGTGACTTCCTGGGGGGTGTTGCTTCTGTGGTGTCTGAGGGACACCCTGCTGTGCAGAGCTGCCCCACCCGCCCTTCCAGGATCCCATACAATCCAGTCAACTGCCTAAGTCAGTCAGCTGGAATTTCCCAGGCAGCAATAACACTGGCACAGCCACCCAGGCCAGTTACAGACAGTGCCAGGAGGCTGCAGTCTCCTGTCCTGTGCCCACCTCAGCCGCTGTGAGCTGAGAAGTAAACCCCAAGCAACAGCTGGTGTGCTCTCAGAGGCAGGGAAGAAATTACAGGAAATCTGTTAACTGCCATTAAAAACTACTGTCTTGGATTTTAAACCCAGACAGGCTATGGAGCACATCAGCCAGACTTCTGGACTTGGACCAAGAACTTTGTAACAGCACTTCTGAGACTTGACGGGAAGTTACAGACAGGATTAAGAACTGCTGCTTGTAGAGAGAATCTGTGTAAGTACCATTATCTCACATTCACAACCAAACTCTTTATTCTTATCACATTATATGGAAGAGAGACATACCAGTCAAAGGCAGGTTCAGGATAAAGAGTCTTAGTTACAGGGCTTTCCAGGCTTGTGCTGAAACTGAAGTGACCTTTGACAAACTACAAACACACCTACCCAAACACACATTGTTTTACTGTACCACAGGACCAGGGTATGAGAAGTTCCTAATAAGATAGAAAGGATCACTTTCCAAAATTAATGTAGAAACTGCTATTAGGTAACAGCACACAGCTTCATTTTTTCACACGAGTGTCTGTATCCAAGATCTGTAAAAAATGCAAACACTACAACTGAACAAACAGGACTAACTGAATGGGCATTAGTCAAGTACAGGTGCAAAACCACTGGTGTGACAGAAAAAAAACCACAACAAATCAGAATCAAGCAGAATTCATTCATGAAGCCAAAAGCATGTCCTTCTGAGGAGACTGCAAGGCAACACTGTTCCTTTCCCTCTCCCCAGTGCTCTGTTTGCAGGAGGCAATGGAAACCTTCCTTCGTCGTTTTTTGTTCGTTGGGTGTTTTCTTAAACATCACAGGTCTGAGTCTGGAAACGTTATTTCTGATGAAAGATCTAGCAAAGTTTGGGCAAGTAAGGAGGTGATTTCACTGCAAATGCTGTATGAAGGGGGTGGGCACGACGGGTTTGCTGGATAACTACACACATCCCCCCCCTTGGCGGGCAGAGCGGGGGCGTCGCGGCTCAGGCTGCAGCTTAGCGCAGTACAGACCAGTCTGAGAACAGGCAGTGCCCACCCCTGAGACAGGGGAATCCAGGAGGGAACTAAGGGAAATCAGAATGCGTCCAGAGTAACCAGGAGAGAAGCATGAAATAACTGCCTGTATTTTGCAGTTTATTTTCAACTAGTAAAGGGCTTTTTCACACCAACAGCAACCTTAACGCAGCAGGCAGCTTTGCTGCTCACAGGGGCTGTCTTTCATCACCAGTCCCATCTTTGTGCTTCTCTCCATTATGTGGGTATCTGTATCTAAGACTGCACCTAGAGCTTCATCTAGAATTTCACTAGGCAGGAGCTTTTTGTGGAGCCTGGCTCCACAACCACCCATTTGTTAATCATAGTCTATTTTCACTTTTGTGATAGCGTTCAGGTTTGTTTTTTCGCTGCTGCTCCTTCCATGAACAGAAGTTAAGTGCTTTTTAAGAGCAGACTTGTGTTTGAAGTCCATGTCGCAGCAGTGGCACTTGTAGGGCCTGTCACCACTGTGGATATTCAGGTGGTCCTGCAGTGTACTTTTGGCTGTGAAGGTCTTCAGGCACACCATGCACTGGAAGGGGCGGATGCCCATGTGCCCCCGGATGTGTCTGTTGAGGTTCTTTTTTTGCGTGAACGTTTTGCCACACTGCAAACACAAGAAGAGTTTGTGCATTTTCAGATGTCTGAGATAGTTCTCGAGATGCAGAAATCCCCTGGGACACTTGGGACACTGGTGCCGCCACGAACTGCCAGAATCATCCAGACTCTGGAACCCATTCCCCAGGCTAGAGGTTCCTTCTGGATTGTCACTGACAAAAGCCTGGAAGTGATTTCCTGACGTTTCTGTATTTCGGCTTTCAACTGTGGAATTTATTAAGGAGTGCTGGGTTTCTGGAAAATACAGATTTGTTTTAGAGGAAGTACAAGGCTGAGAAAAATGATCATTTTCTACATTGGCTACGCTCATAGAATCCATCCTGAAGATACAGATTTCATCATCCTTATACCCGATTTCAACTGTGGATATTTCCGGGGTTTTTGTGTCCTTCCTTTGCGAGGCCAAGCTCTGCCCCGCAGGCTGTGAGACATCCCCCTTCTCCTCTTTCACTGGGTACTCCACACCCACCGGGCTGTCTTCAGAGATCTCGATTATTTCACAGTCTTTATCTAAAACCTCATCCCCGTTTCTCAGCTCGGCGTCCGAGGAGTGGCACCTCTCTGCAGCCTGGTCACCAGCCTCCACGGCAGCGTCAATTTCCAAGTACTTGGAGAGAGCCTCGGTGCACTTCTCCACGATGTGAACCATCTGGAGGTAACTGGCGGCGGTGAGGTACTTCAGCAGCTCCTTCTTTTTGACTTCCAGAGCGCCGGTGTAGCAGGAGAGCAGGAGCTTCCTGCCCACCTCGGCGCTCTGCAGGATGGTGATCCGCACCTGCTTCGACTGGTTGAGCAGGAACTGGTCCCTCATGAAGGTGGAGCAGGCGGCGAAGATCACCTTGTGCCCCTGGAACTCCGTGTCGTTGATGTAGATGGAGACGTCGCAGAAGAGGTTCTGCTGCCGCAGGAGGTTCATCTTCTGCAGCACGGCATCGCCCTGCTGCTCGAACTGGAAGTGCAGCACCTCCGAGTCCGCGGCCATGGCGCCG